CGGGTTTGTGGGGGGGGAAGAGCCTGTGTTATCTTTGGGTGTTGTCCACTTTGTGAGATCTCTATTTAAGGGAGGAGACATCCTGAGTTTTCCTTCCCTGCACGTGAGCTTTAGTAGACTCGGCACAGCAGCAGGAAGCTGTGGGAAGAAGAAACCTGTGGAAAAGGCAGACATCAGGAGATTAGAGTGAAGACAACTATGGTTGTCTATGGTTGTCTAAGGAACAGATAGCCTCTTGGGCTTTTTTCCAGAAGCCATTACAGTTTGCCCCTAATAGAGTTGAAAATACTTCTGGTTCAACAAAATAGCCTGGGAGGCATAGTTAGGGTCCCTATTGGAGTCCAGTGGATTGGAAATGGGCCACCACATGTCCGAGGCCAATAGCAGCCATCGTGCCAATCTGGGGCATACTGTAAATGACCACATGGGCTGGAAAGTTGGGACAGTCAGGTTGGAGAAGAGAAAGATGCATCACAGTGACCACAGATGCTACCCACAGAGGGGAGAAGAATGTGTCTCTTCTTGCTAGATGGGATGCTGCCCTAATCATCAATTGCCTAATAAAGCCAATTAAATCTTCAAGTTGACTTTATCCTGGGTATTTTAGATTACATATTATTCATCTCATCTACCTACCTGTCCTGCACTTGGTTTTGTGTCTCCAGTTAACATCCTAATGGGTGTGCTTTTACTGGCTCCATTAAGTCCTAATAACCCTAAAATCTCACCTGGAAAAAAATATATTAATGATAATAGAAAGATTATTAGACGTTTCAGTATGTGGCTGACTCAGTTGGTTAAGAATCTGACTTTTGATTTTGGTTCAGGTCATGGTCTCAGGGTCATGAGATTGAGCTCCACGCTCTGTGCGGAGTCTGCTTGAGATTCTCTCCCTCTCCCTCTGCCCCTCCCCCCACTCACATGCACACGCTCTCTCTCTCTGTAAAATAAATAAATCTTTTTTTAAAAAGTGTGGAAGGGGATACAACGGGATTCATAATAGGAATAGAAAGCCTGAAAATGAGAGGGAAACACATAAATTCCATGAAGAAAGAAAGAACTTAAGTAAATGGTGTGACAATTAGCTTGACAAATGTAAAAGAAAAAAGTTAGATCCCCACATTGTGCCTCACACAAAAAACAAAGTGTAGGTGGAATCAAGAGAAAATGTAACAAATAAAACTTCAGAACAGTTGGAAGGAAATACAGAAGAATATATTTTGATTTCCAAAAAGGAAAGAGTTCCTAAAACAGGACACACACAGACACACAATCACAGAGTAAACATTATAATGTTCAATCATAATAAAATTAAAACCTCAATACAACAAAAGAAATGATAAACAAAATCAAGATTAAGAAAGTTGAAGAGCTGGCAAACGTGTAAAGAAGTTGTCGGAAACAAACAAAACAGAAAAAGGAATATCCAGAATAAAGATCCCTTAAAAATACATTAGTTTCCTTTCTTTCTTTATTTTTAAAGATTTTATTTATTCATTTGAAAGAGAGACAGAGAACACAAGCAGGAGGAGTAGCAAGCAGGGGAAGAGGGAGAAGCAGACTCCTTGCTGAGCGGGGAGCCTGATGCATGACTCGATCCCAGGACCCTGAGATCATGACCTGAACCAGAGGCAGATGCTTAACCATCTGAGCCACCCAGGCGCTGCAAAAATACATTAGTTTTAAAAGTCAAATAGGAAGGTGGACAGATAATACAAAAGGACAATTCACAAAAGAAGAAAGCTAACTGAGAAGATACTTGACTTCTCTGGAAAGCAAGGGAATACAGCCTCAGAGAGCAATGAAATACTGTATACTCTTATCAGATGGGCAAAGAGAAGGGCAATACTCAGCACTGCAGTGGATATAGGAAAATACATTTTCACATAGTTCAGGTGGGAAAATAGAGAACATTGGGGATATGGACACACACACACATTCATGCCCAGCAACTCTGCAATTTCTCTTCTAGGTCCATCATCTAGACATATTCTCCCACACGTGCTTTAAAGATCTATGTTATTCTTGGTGTAATCCTTGTATCATCAAAAGGCACAGAATCATCCAAGTTCAAAATTCTGGTAAGTTTTCTATTTCAACACTGCAGTATTTTCAAACAAAGTGAAGATTATGTTTTTGTCACAGGGAAAAGAGAATCTGAGAGTTTCCCCACATCAATTTAGCGTAAATAAAATAACCTCGGAGAATTAACAAAGTACCCCTTAAGTTGTGTTAGATAAATCACTGAAGATTGGTATTTATCAGTGTATTAACATGGCTAAATATTATGGAGAATCTCAGTTAGATTTCAGACATGTTAATATGTATTTATGGAAACAAGAGACATGTACTTTTTTATTTTTTGAGAGGGAGAAAGCGTATGCAGGCGGGGCAGGGAGGGGCAGAAGGAGAATCCCAAGCAGCTCCACACCCAGCACGGAGTCTGATGCGGGGCTCGATCTCACGACTCTGAGATCATGATCTGAGCCAAAATCAAGAGTCAGTCACTTAACCAACTGCCTCATTTAGCTTTCAGTGCTCTTTGCCATACTTGCTTTTTCAGAGGTTCCACTGCTTTGGGACACCCCAGTTTGCGAGGGTCTTCATTTTCCCTCACCGAAATCATTCACAGAGCTTTGTACAACACATTACTGAGGCTTATGCTCTCTTTAAAAAGTTCAAAGAGACGTGAACTTCAAACAGAAGTTACTCCAATGCCTACAAATTTTAAAATGTGTATTATTGACCGTTTTTATTGCAAATTTTCTAGATTTCTTCAAAAAGAACAATTTTTGTAGTTTAGTCCAGAGTATTTAATGCAAGACACCAAAACCCCCAAATGAACAAGATCCACTGTCTTTAATTCATTTTTTACTTCACTCCAAGATGATAAAATTACCAAGCAGTTAGCTTAAGGACATGTAATTGTAATACAATGGGGTGATTTGGACAATGTCTGGAGATGTTTTTGATCGTCACACTCAGGTGGAGATTGCTACTGGAATCTAGTGGGTACAGATCAGCATTGCCATTGAATATTCTACAATACACAGGACAACCTCTCCTTTCTCCCTCCCCCAACAAAGAAATCTCTGGCACAAAATGTTAACAGTGCCACTGTTGAGAAAAGCACATCTAGTATGAGAAAAATAAACCCAGTATCATTAAAATTATTTATTCATAATCACTGTAATGTTTTCATTTATTAATCCCTTGGAATAAATTATTCTTACTTTCTACTTCAAACACTCCAAACATTCACTCAGTATAACTTTGTAGATCTAAGTTAGGTCATCCCTTCTTGGCTTTTTACAATACAATGAAGAGTAGACTTCCATGTCTTGGGTTGGAAGTTACTGTTATTTGGTTATACTTTGAGGCTGGTGTGGCACAAATGGGTTGAAAGTAAAGGAAGGCTCACCCTTGTAGAGTTGATCCAGGCAAGGACTGGGGACAGGCAGCTTAGAATAGTTCAAAGGTCTTTGGCAACTGCATCAAGAAATACTTACTCCAGAGTTTTGTCCCCACCCATTTCCTGGCATGATCTGTTTAGTTAAGGTAATGTTGACTATCCGTTGTAACAAACAACCCCACAGTCTCAGTAACCTCAGTAGCTCAATACCACAAAGTGTTTTGTAGGGGTTTCACTTTTTGGGTTTGCACTGGAGTGTGTGCAGGTGTGTGTTTCATGCCTTGGTCCTGCACAGACCAGGGAGCTCTGTAGGCAGCTCATCTCCAAATGGTGACTCCCAGGCTAGGCGCCAGAAAACTTGGTTTCTGGTGACGTCTCTCTTCCTGGCTTGCAGATAGCCACCTTGCCGTGTCCTCATGTGAGTGCACAGAGATATGGTGTCTCTTCCCCTTCTTATAAAGATACCAGTGTTATTAAGGCCCTAATCTTATGATCTCACTGAACCTTTATCTCCTTAAAGGCCCTATCTCCAAATACAGCCACACTGGAGTTTGGGGCTTTAACATAAGAATTTTGGGGGAACACAATTCAGTCCATAAGAGCTAACAACAGCAATAGTAGCAAGAACAACAAAAAAACTTACCTAAATAAGAGTATACAAGTATATTGCACTGATTGTAAGGTGTTTACAGGGTCACCAGTTGGAGAGGTCATAACATACATAAACATGAGAAATTAAGATCTGCATAAGAGTAGACCCTTGCATCGTAAGAAAACATACAAAATCAGAAATATGTTTCAAAATTGTAAGATATGTCATTTTTAAACCTTCCTCAACTTGATTATTCAAATTCTTACTGAAATTACTTATTTTAACAGGTTTCAAATTTCCTTGACAGTCACAACAGACAAACCATAGACTGTACAATATAAAATGTGAAAAATGACAGAAAAGGAAAATCCGTTTATTATGAATAAGCAAAAAACAACAACAACAAAAACAAACAAACAAACTCTGAATTATAAAACGCAAATACTTGTTGGGATGAGCACCAGGTGTTGCATGGAAGCGCTGTGTCACCATATTCAACACCTGAAGTTAACATTACACTGTACGTTAACTAACTAGAATTTAAATAAAAACTTTTAAAAAAGCAAATACTGTGCTGTTCTGTAATCACTGCCTCTCTTTCCCCTAAAATCAGGATTATGTCTTACTTTGTACTTGCGCCCTTTATTCAAAAGGATAAGAAAATATTCAAAATTTTGATGTTGAAACAAAGAAAATAAAGCAATCTCTGTGTCATCTTGAAGAGATCCAAACATTCTACAACAAATGCATTTTCGATTTACTTCCATATGACAGGTGGGATTTAGTTGCCGGTACAGAGGCCCCATGGTCCGGTTTCGAGACTGTTCTCCCTGCCTTTTCTCCTAGGTCCTACTATCCATCATGTTATTGAGAAAAATGGGGACATGAGTTTCAAAAGCATTTTGTATCACATCTGAGATAAGATATGTTAATTACATAAAATATTATCTTTAAAAAGAGGCATAAGACTAAAAAGAAACATAGGGTATTTGGGGCTTAAGGGTCTTCCTGTGGGAGGAGTTTCCTCTTCACTGAAGGGTCAAGTTCTTCCTCAAAGTCATCCAACTCCTGCTCCTTGGAGAGCTCCAGGAAAACCTGAGACGGACAAGAAATAAAGAGGGAGAGATGTCACGCTGCCTCCGTAGCTCCAAGTGAGTGCAAAGCGTCCGCTCACACTGTACATTTATAGTGCATGGATGAACCGAGTCACGCACACTGACCCACCTGCTCCAGGGTGGACTGGGAGAGGTTGTACTCCTCCAGGTCGAAGCTCTGTTTAACTGCAGAAGGACGGACGGACGTTAAGTGTTCATCTATTTTTTTATTTGGAGAATTTTACCAAGTTATGCACAAAATCTACATACACACAGATTTTAAACATGAAGGATAAGGTGATAAATATTCTCGGACTAAATATGGAAAGACAGGGGCTCGCTTGGGCAGCACATATGCTAAATATGGAAAGGCAAATTCACTCTGTGGTCTTGTAACAGGATGGAAATACTCTCCCATTGTCTTAGAGTTTGGGCAGGGGCACACCAAACTGGAAAACAATGTGCAAGGTCCCAGACCACCTATGCAGGGTGAGTGGACAGCCAGTTCCCCCTGTGCTAGAACACTACCATGTGCCCCTCGATGTTTGCCTTCACTCTCTCTACTCTGCTCTTTGCTCTATCGGCTGACTAAAGAGGCTTTTTCTGGTGGTTTCCACTAGTGGTAGCTCATGAGGAGGGACAGAGGAGAGGGGAGGTCAAGGCCTTTATTCCTTCACTCCCTCCCTGACATCAACTTTGTCCCTTGATTGAAAGTCACTGCTTCTCACGAGGTCACAAATTCTACATGATTCTACTCCCGGGTTCCAGCCGCTGCTTCCTCTCTCAGTCCCTTTGGACCTGAGAATGGCAACACTTCTGCTATGTCTAGCACTGTGCCTTGCCTCTTGGCAAATGGTCCCTGCCTAAACCAAACTTTTTTGAATTATCCTAATTTTAAGTTGACCATCTGTTATCAATGTGGACTGTGATTAAGACCCCCAAATGTGCAGATACATAAAAGGAAGAAAATAATGAACCGAGAGGTAAGACTAGAAAGCAAAGTTTTCTTGTGGGCAGTTGTCCAGATTGCTGTGGCATTTCCTTTCTCCCCTCCGTGGGCAGAGGATCTGGTGGGATTGACCTATAATCTGGGGACATGGGATTGGGTCCTTGCCTCTAGTCTGGGAACACATAAAAAATTGTGGACAGTGATGGCCCTGGACTGGCAGAGTCTGGAGAGGCCAAGATGCTGCATCCAATGGAGGTCCTCCAAGAGATTTCTTGGAAAGGGAAGGGAATGCCAAGAAGTGGCCCAGGGGCTGCAAGAGACCAAGAGACCAAGAGGAGAAGGCATCACCCACCCCAGAGTAGAAGCTTTAGTCAGAGGTTACAGATGGGAGGGGAGAGGGAGTCTTCAAGGAACCCCTCTCTGCACAGGAGGCCCTCATGCCACAGTCCAGCTCTAATGAGCAAATCAAGCTTTGCTGTCATGTTCTTCTTCCCTCTCCTTACACTCCACACCAGAGAGGCTCAAAAGATCAGCAGATGAGCAGAGGAGGAATAAGATAAGAAGGGAGATAAAACCAACCCTCCCACCTCCCTAGCTTCAAGTCTCCAAATATTAAGCAACTAAGCAACTCTGACCTGGAGTGGGCATGCGAGGCTGGAGTTCTGTGCAGTTTGCAATACCCCAAAGTGATCTGATGCTATGGTGGAATGAGTCTATGTAGCAGGACACAGGAATAGTCACAGGACATGGGTTGTGCTCACACACTACAGGGTCTACCTCATTCAATAAATGTATTGAGGCTGAGAAGGTAACTGTCTCACCTAACATTTGGAGGGAAAAAAAATGCTAACTTACATTTCCACGACACAGTGGGGTGGAAAACTGTGATAAAAAGTTAGGTTCCCCCCCCAAAGCAGAACTTTAGTTTTAGCAAATGAAACACAGCAGAAGGAATCTGAGGTGGGAGGGAACATGTTTAAAAGCAGAAACATTAGAAGGCTCTGAAGAAAAGGCTCACTGTACTCTAGGGACGCAGCCCTTTCTGGAAGATCTCCCTCCCTGCTCCTAATTGGTCATAAAACCGTTCATGTTGATCCGAGTCAGTTGTGGGAATCCTTCCCACAGGAATGATGCAAAATTGGTCACTAGGCTAGAATGGCCACTGTGCAAAATGGTTACATGGACCCTAGAGCAAAGGTGACCAGCAGGAGGAGGAAGTAAAAAGAAAAGCTATCCGGGGCAATCATAACCTTGTATCAAGGAGAAAAATATCGCTAAGAACTAGAATGTTTGGGGCTTCTAAAGACAGACAGGTGACAAATAAGAAAGCACAGATCAAGAAGAGGGGGACATCTTGGCTCTTTCCACAGTTTGGCTATTGTGGACATTGCTGCCATAAACGTTGGAATTCTTAATCTCAGGAAACAAACTGAGGGTTGCTGGAGTGGGGGGGGTGGGAGGGATGGGGTGGCTGGGTGATAGACACTGGGGAGGGTATGTGCTACGGTGAGTGCTGTGAATTGTGCAAGACTGTTGAATCACAGATCTGTACCTCTGAAACAAATAATGCAATATATGAAAAAAAAAAAAAAAGAAGAAGATAGCAGGAGGGGAAGAATGAAGGGGGAGAAATCGGAGGGGGAGATGAACCATGAGAGATGATGGACTCTGAAAAACAAACTGAGGGTTCTAGAGGGGAGGGGGTGGGGGGATGGGTTAGCCTGGTGTTGGGTATTAAAGAGGGCACATTCTGCGTGGAGCACTGGGTGTTATGCACAAACAATGAATCACGGAACACTACATCAAAAACTAATGATGTAATGTATGGTGATTAACATAACAATTAAAAATTTTAAAAAAAAAGAAGAGGGGGAGAGGGACGCCTGGGTGGCTCAGTTGGTGGAGTGTCAGACTCTTGATTTCAGCTGAGGTCTTGATTTCAGGGTCAGAAGTTCACACTCTGGGTGTGGAGCCTACTTAAAAGAAAAGAGAGGGGATGGGGGGCTCAGCTTTTTATCAGATTTCATACACTGGTGTGATAGGCAAAATCGGAGCCCATGATAGATCAACGCAGTATATAAAGATCCCAATCCAAGAGTCTAGACTTGGCTTAGGCCACCTCAACAGAGAAGAACCTCCTTATCAACATCTAATGCTATCTAAGAGTACATACAGACAAAAACAAATGTCTTTTTTTTTTTTTTGTATGAATTTGTGGACACTCCAGCCCTAAATGCCAACGATCTCTTCCCTCTAGAGTCTCATTCAATTAGGATAGGACTTCTCAACCTTGGCACTGATGACATTTTGGTCTGATCCTTCTTTGCTGTGGGAGGGAGCGGACCTGTGTGCATTGTAGGATGTTTAGCATCATCCCTGGCCTTGACCTACAAGATACCAGTTGCACCCCCCAACTCCAGCCCCAGTTGTGACAACCAAAGCTATCCACAGACATTACTGAATCACTCATGGTTGAGAACCACCATTAAAAGTCTTAATACTTCTTATACTGGTTTTATGCAAGATTTGAATTTCTCTGTTTCCTGGAGTCCTATCTCCAAACAGTCACTCTTACCTATCTCTAATTTGAAGAAAGCTTGCGATAAGGGGTGCACATCCTCAACAGGCAACTTATAGACCATCAGGGAGGAGTACCTGCCAGGAATGGAGAGGGAGGCTGAGCTCCATGTTTCAAGAAGACAACCATTAATGGATGCATGTCTAAAAAACAGCAACAATGTCACCAACAATTTGTCTTGATGTACGTGTCTGCAGAGCCATGGATACAGTGGTAGTGGGAATGTTCTTTAATCAACAAGAAGTCACTTTATTCAAGCAGAAGCAGGAGGGGGCTCTCACAGTATGGCTCCCTCTTGGGAGGAATGGGAGACAGAGGAGACCAGCAGCACTTGCACCCCAAGATGGGGAGAGGCAGGATGACTTATCATCCTTCTTCCTTAGTGAAAAGAGATTAGCATTTAAGTACAAAGAACTAAGTTCACCTCCTGGCTCCACCACTAGGATTTGGCATGATCAAAATGACCTCAAGTGCCATTACCGATAATAATAAAAATGCTAAGAGCCACCCCTCACTGAGCTTTGACAGATGCCTGGCACCGGGTCCCGGCTTTAGACAAGTGGTTGCATTTAATGGGGATGGTTTTACCCTCTAGAAAGGATTCAGATGACCAAGGTCCATGCACACATTAGGACCTGGCACATGATAGAGCCGCCAGAAATGTGAATTCCCTTACAACAATCAGTTTCCCAATCAGTACTTTGCTCTCTTATATCCCTCCTATGGAAGGAAATTCCCTTGGAATTGGGCCTTTCTCTAATAATTAATCAATAAATAAAATCACAGTTATTTAGAGATTAACCTCTAATTAATTAAGTCACAATTACCATAGAGTTAACAAAAAAAGAAGAATGATCAAGTAAAGCTTTTATTTCTCTTTGCCATAATAGAAAAACAAAAAAGATGAAACAAGCCAACCCCTGTGTTTACCTTTCCTGCCGAGCAGCCTGGGGAAAAAGTCTCAGAATTTCACAGTGGAGGGGCTCCACCTGGGCAGGGGTCTTCACCTTCATCTCTAGCAGATACTCTTTACCAAATTTGCTTTTCAGGTGTTGGATGGAACCGATACATCTGGAGGTCAGAGGAGGATGAAGTCAAGGAAGAGAAGGAGAAGATAAATCGATTGCCAGTGACTTTCAGCCTCTGGAGTCCAGGGCCAGGCCACTCCAGCCCCTGACAGTGATAACCCTGTGCAGGGAAATGTCCTTTGCTCAAGGCCCACTGGGAGCCAAGGGTGGGTTTGAACAGGCACCCACCTCAGACTTCCGGACACCATGATGGCCACGCGGTCACACACGGCCTCTGCCTCTGCCATGTAATGAGTGGTCAGGAGGGCGCCCCTCTCCGTGTTCCTAAAGGTGGCCCGGATCGCCTGCCTAAAGGGAGGTTAGGGGCAATGTTAGCTGGTAGGAATGCTCAACGTAAGATGTCTTCTCATCTTTTAAACACGTTTTACCAGCACACATGAAATAACTAGTGAATTCGGTTTAGACAAAAAAAGGAGTTTTGGAAGGACAGCATTCATGTAAATACCCAAACTATCGGGTAGAGTAATATAATTCAGAACATGGCTGGTGCTGAAGGTAGAAGATGATATTGGGTAAAAGGTTATTTAGAAAAATGCTGAATTCCAAGGATATGTATGAGAGGGCAGTGGGAAGAAAGACAGAAAACAAGGAGCACTTATTTAAAAGCATGATAATAATGATATAAACCCTAAAATACAAAACAGCAGATTTCAGAATCGTCCTAAGAACTTGGGATTTTTTTTTTTTCCCTCATAAGAACTGTGTATCAGGTGATGCTGTAGAAATTGAAACTGAATAATAGACTGATGTGATTGAGTATAAAAATGGGCCATGCATACCCCAAAGATCTATGATAAAAGCAAGATTCTTAAGAGTATTAGGGTGTTAGAATTGTCTTTTTCTCCTTAATAAAAACTGGCTGTGATAGGGCATCAGATTTTTCACCCTTAATATTGCATTTCCTCATAATGGGTTGTCTTTTGCCTTATAAACAATGATTTTGAAGACTAGTCGTTTTAGGACTAATCAGTTCACTTAGGATTACTCATGACATCTCCTCACCACATTTGCTGCTGCCCCTCGGGGTCCATGCCCGTGGACGGCTCGTCCAGAAGCACCACCGATGGGTTTCCCAGGATGCTCAGTGCAAAGCACACCTGGAACGAGAGGATCAGCATGTCTGGCACTGACCTATGGGGTGTGCTAGAGTGACACCGAGCCCTGTTCCTACCTTCCTCTTTATTCCCTCGGATAAGGCCTTCACGGGCAGCTTCAGCTGGTCCTGCAGCTTGAGCGCATCCACCAACCTGGAGGAAGCAGAGTGAGTCAATCCACATTACCCCCAAACTATGGGGAATGTGTGTGGGGAATGGGTAAATCAGAACAAACACTGTATTAGAGACATTTTTGAAAAGAGTATTCTGAATGATCATAAAATTGAAACTACCTAGGATACTTTATGAGCCTTTTATAGTGGTCAAATTCATATTTTTCAATGACGTCTTTCCATATTAAGGAATAATCAGTAACATTTTTCTCTCCAGGCTTAATACAATACTCCACTGGCTTCTTGATAACTACGTCTTCTCCCACAGGTGTGGAGTCATCGGTTAGAATCTCCCTTCCTTATTTCCTTGGGAACATCTTTCCTATCACATCTGCCCAGTAGAGAACCAGTGTGTCTCCCCCACGTACCGTGTGATGGTGACTGTGGAGTCCCCTTTCTTCAGCCCTTTGATGGCAGCGAACACCTCTAGATGTTCCCTCACTGACAGGTTAGGCCAGAGCACGTTCTCCTGAGGACAGTATCCCAGGAACCCGAGGGAGTCCCCCTCACTGCTCCCTTTCAAAATCACCTGCACAAAAAGTTCGTTCCCACATTCAGCCCAAAATTGTGTATACACGCATATGGGCACGTGAGTGCGTAATTCAGTGATGTCCTCGTACACGCACAGCTGCCAAGAGTGCAAATGTAAATAAGTGACCACTTCACTGTAGGCGAAAGATGGCAAAAACTCAATAAATCAAAAGGAACATATTCCACATTGTCATATCTCTCTATAGACTTTATTTCCAAGTCCATTACCTTGGTTGGATTCAGGGTGGCTTACTTGGTTGTTCCTTGTTTGACTTCCTTCACTGATCCAAACATTCAAAGGAGTAGACACTTGTTGAGGATTCTATTTCCCCAATGTTAAAGTAGCTATAATTATAGGATCTGTTGTGCAAGTTTATTGTGAGCATTAAAAATGGCAGTGGTTCTCAATCAGGGGCAATCTTCTTTCCAAGGACATTTGGTAATGCCTGGAGATGTTTTTGGTTGTTACACTTGGGTGCTGCTGGAATTGAATGGATAGGGACCAGGGATGCTGCACAGGACAGTCCTTCACAAAAAAAAAAAAAAAAAAGACCTAGACCAAAATGTTATCAGTGCCAAACTCAAGAAATTCGGAACTCAGATAATAAATGAAAAGTCCTTAGCACTAGTCTGGCGCATAGGAACCAGTAAATACTAATAAATAGCATTCATTATTTTTATGAGCCAATCACTGTGCTATATGACAATATTCACAGGTAATGTGTACCAGTGCTTACTATGTGCTAGAATCTAAGCATTTTATGTGTTTTAAATTACTTTATCCTTAGAAAAATCCTATATGACTCAGGTATTAGTTTTATCGTCCCTGTTTCACATAGGAGAAAAGTAACATGTGCATTCATTTAGTAACTTGCAGAAGGTCACACAAGGTAAACCTGGGAGTTAAAGCTGGACTCTGCCTTCAGAATCCAAGCCCTTGACCTCAACTCTATGTTGTCTTTCCCCAATACAAAGGAGGAGAGAACTAGTTAATGTGGGCTCACAGAGCTTTCAATCTAGACAGAGAAATGGAAAATAAAAAAAGTAGACACATATACGGATGAATTATAGCCCCTGCTTAATGCTTTCAAGGCAATAAATGTGATAAAGAGTAAAAAGGGAAGAAGATCCAATGTAGCCATGAGTGTAGTCAGGGAAAATCCTTTTGGGGAGAGGTAAATTTTAAAGTGATGAGAAGGAGGTAACCAAGTACAAAGCCAAAGGAGGCGCACTCTAGCCAATGGAAAAATAAACCCAAAGGTCCTACAGAGGGACGATGACCAAAGGCCAATGTGAGCAAGGGGTGAGCAGAGCCCAGATCTTACAGGGCCTTTTTTTGGCCATGTTAAAGATTTTGGATCAATTCTAAGTGAAGGATGATAAGCGGGATAGTGACATGATCTCATCTGCATCTTTTAAGGACTGTTCTGACTGCTGTGTGAGGCAAGAGGAGAAATGGAAAGACAATTCGGAAACTTATGTTGCAGTCCACACGCCTAGACAACCTCTCTTCATGGTCCCACACCCTCTGCCCTCAACCTTCTGTCAAATGTCAGCAGCAGGTCCTCCTCAGTGTTGTGGTTCCTGTGGACCTCCGGCCATCATGTTATCCAACTTGGCCTAGACGTACTGCCAAGTGACATTCACATACCATTCTAGCTTTTGATTGGGAATTTAGACAATCCTTATTTTTTTTTCTCTAATCTATGACCTCTCTTTTCTGAATAAATCCTGGATCTTGACAATTCATTTCAACAAATTCTTAGGATACATAAGTCAACAAAAAATAAAAAATAAAAAACCCAAAGATCTCTGACCTGAATAAAGCTAATGTTCAGCTTTACTTTTACCAAAACACTTCCTTTTAATGTCACTACTTTTCATTCAATAAAACTGTGGTGTAGATAACATGGAGCCCTTTTTGGCACCTCACTATTTTTGGAATTAAGGAGAGAAGTTTTTAATTAATTCTCTTCATTCCATGCATAACTCAATGGATTCATAAGAAAGGATCATTTATGTATTTTTAAGACTGTCATCAATGTTCACGGGTTAGTGCTTGTTCAAGGCAGCATTAATGACCATATTTCTGTGTGGTTTACTGACCTGCCCTGCGGTTGGATTTGTATCTCCAGTTATCATCTTAATAGTTGTACTTTTACCAGCTCCATTGTGTCCTAAGAGCCCTATAACTTCACCTGAAAGAAATAGGTATGCTTAGAACTTCAAATAATTACAATACATCTAAAAGCAAATACTACTGGGGGGCTCACTATGTGTCAGGCTCTGTGTGAAGTGCACAAATGCATTAATTCATCTGTTCTACACACACACACACACAGACACACAAACACCCCTAAGCGTTGTTACTGGCTTCAATTTATAGGCAAAGAAACTGAGGGGTAAGGAGGATATATAACTTGCCCATGCCCATGGTCATACAGCCACTAAGATGCTGAGCTGGAACAGAAACAAATTTTGGTCCCAAAGTCTGTTGCATTTAACAGACACTTTCACAAAATGTGCTCTTTGTTAGAATGGAGACTGCACTGCTGTGTCCCAGTGAGTTTCCTCTTGCGTACATTCCCTGTTGTGAAATTAATGGTACTTTGAAAGCTATAACATCCTTCTTAACTGCCTTTTTTTTTTTTTTTGGTGTTGTTCTTTTTTTGTTTGTTTGCCTGTTTTAACAGAACAGACAGAACTGTCTTCTTAGGCAAAGAAAAAACACTGTTATCATAACTGAGGCTTTTAAGCAGGACGGATCTGTGTGTGCCTGTAGATGGGTGGGCTGCCTTTCATGATTATCAACAGATGGCCCCAGATTCGGGTACTATTATTCCCTCCCAAAGACCTCATCTTGGGACGTCAAGATAGCTCTGCCAACAGTTAAAACTACTGTCTCCAACCTTTTTTAACACAGAAAGAGACATTTCTTATGGCCACTTTTTTCTTCCTCTTCGCAAAGCAGTTTCTCCTTTTGCCTGCATATTCCTTCCGTAGACAGCTAGCAATGATGACGGGTTTCTGTAGAGACAAGTAAATAACGATGGGGCTTTATTCTTACCTTGAAATGAGTGAGTGCGCCATATTCCCTCCAACCACATTTTTCCCTGTTACAGAATCATGACCCAGACAAGTCCTTCCCCCAGAAACTGCCATTTTCAAGTGAAATTTCCCAATCTCTATTCCTGCAGGGAAATAACATTTGCACCCTATTGCATGATCTGTGTTTCTCTTTCTCAGAAAATAGGAAGAGAGACATCCACCAAACCAATAGGGCTGTTAAGACACACACTCACATACACACACGTGCACACATGCACACAAACACACATACACCTCAGATGGACTCTCTCCTCTTGCAGTAAGCTTTACTCAGTTCATAAGACTCACAATGTCTTACTTAGGTTTTGTAATATGTAGCTTCTCTTACCCAAAATACAACCCTGAGAAACGAATTAGCAAGTCTGTGCCTGTGCGTATGTGTGTGTATTTCCCTTGTTCTATGTCTGTGGACTTCGCATATTCAGTGAAGTCAAGTGATGAGCTATGTGTGTAAGGATGAAAGAACCGCAAAGTATTTTTCAAAATATTCAGATGAATGTTTTTAGTCGTTCTACCTCATCAAAGTCTTCAACAGTCCCAGCATTTGTGGTTCTCCTTCTTTCTATCTGAACATCTTCATCCTCTCCTTCAGGTTCTTCTGGGTTTGGAAAAATGCCACTGCTTCTTGGAGAAATTCTAAAATCAAAACAGTGTGATAATAACAGGTTTCCAGTTGAAAAACTTGTAGCAAAAATGAGCTTTCTGTAGACTGCTCTCAATTATGTGAATGGATTCACTGTGAGTACAACATAACCCCCATTTTTTGGCTCTGCGCCATCTGCCTTGCAAACAACCTGGTTTCCCTGATGAGTCAAGTGATGCAACTCTTGCTTTTTCCCTAGGTTTACTTTTCCTTGTTGGTTGTGACTTTTAAAAATAATAATAATAATAAAACAGGACACATTCTCTGGCAAAAGATTTTGGGGCACAGTTGTGTGAGAAAGGCATCTAGGAACTGTAATTTTGGCACAGATATTTTGGAATTCTGAAGACTTTGCGAGAACTATGGATTGAAACATTTGGAATTCGAGACACATCCCAGAAAATCCAGGACACACAATCACCAGTATGTGAGCATTGTCACTTCTTAGGAATGTTTCAGCATCACTCTTTCCTGACTGCCATCTATCCAGTTCTTTCCTTCATCACCCCCACCACTGATTGCTGCTGACTCTAATCTTCTCCCTCCTTCATGCCATCAAAGATTGCTGTTGTCTGCTGATTCTTGTCACGCTCCTGCCCTACCACCTACTTTACATTTGAACTTGATTCATATTTTGTGAGTTAGGTGAGGTTTCCAAAACATGCCTGTCTTGATTTCCCATTATGTAATTTGCAAAACCGTTCCTACACTTCTCTATTCCAACGCCCTCTAAAATTCAGCTTTAATTTAATTTTCCATTATCTTCCAGTACAAACTTTCAAGTTCTTTCCAGCTGTCTACTCAAATCTACAGGAAGATGGCATTTATATCAACTTCTGTTCTTTTGCTCAGACTACCCTACCTTCCTGGACTGGCTACACTTACCGATTGTTTATCTATACTCACCAATTATTTTATTTATTTATTTATTTATTTTAAGATTTTATTTATTTGCGAGAGAGAGAATGAGAGACAGAGAGCATGAGAGGGAGGCGGGTCAGAGGGAGAAGCAGACTCCCTGCTAGGCAGGGAGCCCGACGCGGGACTCGATCCCGGGACTCCAGGATCATGACCTGAGCCGAAGGCAGTTGCTTAACCAACTGAGCCACCCAGGCGCCCTTTGCCAGTTATTTTAAAGATTTTATCTTTCGTATATAACTTTCTTTTAGTATGTCAATGAAATTCCTTAATTTTTCAGTGTCTCACGTGTGCTGATGTGGCTTCCCTCATTAGATTGTAAGCTCATTAAAGTATTGTGAATTATAATAATTTTGTACTCTATACAATCCCTAAATAAACAATCCTGTGCAGTTATTTTTACTCAGTTAACGTAAGCATATTAAAATGTTTTTAAACAATGAATATTAAAATAAAACATGAAATTGTATTTGAATTTTCTCAACCTGAACACAGGATCTTTTCTCATTGATTTCTTCCTAAAGTTCACTTCCAGACACCGGAGGACAAAAACAAAAATGCAAAAATGGAGGTAAGGCTAAGGGGAGAAAAAGACAATCAATATTAGAAGTCACCATAAAAACAAGTTCAATATTGGAATTTATAAAGACAATCGATTTAATATCCAATGAAACTCTCAGAGCTAGCTTCACTGTTCTTCAGAGAAGCTGTAATAGACAAGATAGTAGTAAGTTGGTACCAGGACTATTCATGCCATTGAGAGTTTGGGCTCTACACTCCATGTCAGATGATTGTTATAAAGAAAGCAGTCCAAATTTTAAAGCCTCTGTGTGTGTGGTGTGTTGCTTCAGATGCCTAAAATACTGCATTTTTAAGTGCCAAAGTTAAACTTTTTAACTTAATGCTAAGCAAACAAATGTGTCCCCCTCACGCAAGAACATTTAAATGGAAATGTACTCTTACTATTAGCGGTGCCAGAAACGCAATTTGATGTTCTGAAGCTCCTAAATAATCCATGGAGTCAGGAGAAATCTGTAAAATGAAGAAAAGTAGGTTTAGATGAACCTTTATCTGTTCTCAAATCTCATCTCATGTAAGATACATTAATGTCCTTCTAATGACTTTGCCAGCGTTCTCTCGAGCATCAGGTAAAAGTCGATTTCCAACTGTGTTAGGTGTCTTCCTTGCTTCCAAAGTCACTCAGTAACCTCCTCTTCTGTGCTGGCCTAGAGGCTCGGATGCTTTTAGAACACTGCGAGTCAGCAGGATTCTCCGTGCTAAGAGAATCCTGGGTGGTGTTGGGGACCATTGAAGCCATGGGCAAGATCGGTCTTAAGACAAACCCTCTTCCCTAACTTTTACCTGCCTTTTTCCCTATATTTGTGCTCCTTCCCTAAAAGCCCTGGAACCAGTACATTGCTCTGTCCCTTGCTCCACCCACTCTTAAGAATAATCATGACAACTCTCCATGCTAAAGACAAAACTCTTCACCTGAAATTTGGCACGGTTTTCACTAGCTTTACAACACGTGCATAATATACAGAATATACATGCATAATACATAAGTGCATGATTTCCATTAGATTCACAATACATTCTGAAACATCCCCCAACTCCTTAGTAAATAAAGAGTAAAGAGTCAATTTTGTTTCTTGAGCTGTATTTCCCAGGACTTTTTTCTGAGCAATGTTAAGCTGACATAGGAAATCTCTATCACAGCCATCCATCATCTAGAAAAGATGATTATATTTTTCTCATTGAATGGTTTTCCAGGACCCTGACATTATTTCAAATAATCTTGTTCTCCTACGTGCCTCTGTCACCCGCTTCCAAACACTGTACCACATCCCAAACCAGCTTCAGGCACTCTCATCTTTGCCCTGTCTACTATGTTCTATTTTTTCAGCTCCTTGCTCTACCATCCTTACTCCATAATTTGGAGTTGGTGACCCTCCAACCCACCAATCCCACCACTGTCCCACTGTCCATAAACCCCCTCATCGCCTTAACTTCATCATTCCCCAGCTTAGAATCTCCATGGTCCACTGCTACAATCCCTCCTTATACAGAACCACTGCTCATTGCCACATTGATTATACCTTTATCCTTTTCTTGGTCAGACTCAACTGGCAAAACACTAACCCTGATTGAACCCAACTCCACCTGCCCTGAACTGCATCTGGGAAGGACACTATGATAAGAGAAACTATCAGCTTTGTTGACTGCACTTGCAAAGTAGGGCAAGGGGTCTTTTAATACCCCCTGTCAATTCTACTGGTGATCTACTTTCTGAAATAATTGTTTACATCTTTTCCTCTATCCTCAACATCCCAACACCCCTGTTCACCTCACTTTAAGTTGATAACTTCATCTCTTTCCCCAAGAAAGGAGGATCACTCAGAAGAGAATCATGAGTTTACTACCATCAAAGCCATTAAATTATCTGCCTCTGGCTACGGTCTTCATAAATAGATGGAATGTTCCTGCTTTGATGGAAAGCAACTTCTCTGCTTGGGTGCTATATGATGTTTTGTTTTCCTCAGCTATTTGAGGAGTTGGCTTCTTAGGTAGTTCATGTCTCTCTTTTCATCAAAATTTTTTCTCCTATAAGCATGTTATCTCCCTTCTTAAACAAAAATGTAGTTTCCTCACCCATCTACTTTCCCATCTCTGTTATTCTTTCCAGCGAAATTAGAAGTAGGTGTCTCTATTGCACTACTTCCTCATATCACAGTATCTACTAAGCTCGCTCTTGTTAGGTTTGGTGTTCACCCTTTCCTTGAGTTCTGTCTGGTTAATAGCACCGGTGACTTTCATGTAGTCAAATCCGGTGGTCTTCTTCTCAGTCATCAACTTTCTAGACCTCTCATTTGATGGTTGAATCACTCGCTCCTTCCTGAAATATTCTTTACTGCCATCTGGCACATGTCCTTCTATATGGATACTTTGAGCGTTTAAGGAGAGTTTCTGAGAAGAGATTCTGGAGCTCAACAGTTCCCCACTTTTTCTCCTACATCATGGGCTCCTCCTCAACCTGACTGGCTGACTCTTCTTACCAATCTTTAAATTTTGGAGTCAAGGCCATATCTTTGGCCCACTTTTTATTCGAACTGTTCTTACTCTGTAAGTTATATTATCTAGTGCCGTCGCTTAGATATCATTTATATGCTGATGAATCTCAAGTAACCACATGCTGGATTTCAGACTCATACATCCTACTGGCTACTTGGCATTTCCCATTGTGTGCCTATTAGGAATCTTAAACCCAATATGTCCAAAATTAACAGAAAAAGTGCATCTCATTAGCCTCCCAGTAGGGTCATTTGGTCCCGGGAGAGAGGCTTATCACAAGAACTATAAAATTCCACTACTGCAGAACCGCCCTTGACCTTCATGAACCAAGGCAGAGCTTCTTATTGAATAACATAACCCTTTCCTGTGGTAAGAGAATGACCTTTCCAAGACAGAGATTTCAAATTTTGTAGATAAGGACTCCATCTACATTTCTACAATATCCTAGGCTATCTCCAATGCTACACACTTCATGACCTGAGGACAGGTGTGAAATTACTTACCTCAGAGAAAATGAATAGAGAACCAATCAGTGTGAAAGGTGGTATTAATATGGTGCAGAGAAATAACCCTAGAAATCCATATTCATTTAGATCTGTAGCAACTATCGAGAAGATGGTGATCTAAAAAAAAAAAAAAAAAAGCATCCTAATTTCACTAAAGTGTAAAAAATCTGAATTTGAGTATATTTTCCAAGAGGGTGGGAATTCATCTTGTAAATGTTCTTATTTTCAACTTTCCCCTCACAAGGCAGTACTGCCACCATGTTTTTTTTCTTTGCGACACAAGATTGTATCAGAATTCTGTATTTGATTGACTGTGACATTTTTAAGACACACCAGGGCTTCTCAAATTCAGTGTGCATGCAGATCAGTTGGAGTTCTTGCTGAAATTCAGAATCTGACAAGAGGGCTCTTTATCACACATTGCTCACCCTTTTTCTTTTTTTTTCATTTCACAGGAGGTCATAGACATCTGTTGGGGTTTAGACATACCAGTTATTCATTTTCAGAGCTGCATAGTATTTCTTTGAGTGGATATGCAAGAATTCAACAATTTTGCCTTTAGAAAATGTGTTGTTTCAATTTCTCTGCTCCTATAAATAATGGCCTACATAAATCCTTATCTACTGACACTCTTAATCTTTATTTTTCAAAGATTTATTTATTTTATTTTAGAGAGAAAGAGAGAGACTGAGCACAAGTGGGAGGAGCCGAGGGAGAGGGAGAGAGAATCTCAAGCAGACTCCACACTGAGCATAGAGCCAGACACGGGGCTCGATCTCACAACCCTGAAGTCATGACCTGAGCTGAAACCAAGAGTCCGGCACCTTACTGACTGTGCCACCCAGGTGCCCCAACACTCTTAGTCTTTTAGGAAAGATTCTGAGAAATGTAAATGCAGGTTAAAATTTATGTGGATTCACATTTTCAGCAGTTACTAACAGAGTATTTTTCAAAAAGATGGTGACAGTCTATGCTCTTATGAACATGAATGAGTGTGCATGTTACACCACCTCACTGATACTGGGTGCTATAACTAGTTACTGTAGGTGTCCTTGTTTTATTGCTGATATTAGGTGAATAGCTGCATAAGTTTACTATGTACTGTAATATTTGCCACTGGTTTTTAGTAATTTGTCCTTCCTGTGCTTATACATTTTACTGGGCATTTTTAAAGGAATTATATGGTGTTTTCTTAATTCATGTAGTTCTCCTCTCTTAGTTTGAAAGCTCCTAATAGTGAACCATCATCTCAATCTAAAATAAATCATACTGGACTATTCCTCTTCTTATTATTTTATTTCTGGGTTTGCTTTGTCATCTTTTTATTTAGAGAACTGTCTTTGATTTTCCAAATTAATTTATCAATGATATTCTTTTTTACTCTATCTTTCTTTTTTTTAAGATTTTATTTATTTATTTGTCAGAGTGAGAAAGAGAGAGCACAAGCAGGGGGAGCAGCAGGCTCCCCACTGATCAAGGAGCCCAATGTGGGACTCGATCCCAGGACCCTGAGATCATGACCTGAGCTGAAGGCAGATGCTTAACTGACTGAACCACCTAGGTGTCCCTATCTTTCTTAGGATTGGTTACTAAAGTTATGCTCACTTTATAAAAGGCACTATTTCACTTTGTGGATTTTTTTATATAAATGTTATAACCATGATTCCCAAAATTTTACAATCTTCATGCATGTTTAACAGAATTCAGTGGTCTCTACCAGTGCTTTTATAGCATTTTTTAATTTTCTTAAATTCTTTATTCTAATTTATTTCTTGGTCAGATTAATTTCATCCTTAAATGATTCTCCTTCCCTCACCCAGCTCTTTTGAGATATAATTGACGTATATGGTTTATAAATATTTTCCCCATTCCATAGGTTGCCCTGTTATTTTGTTGATTGCTTTGTTTGCTATGCAGAAGATTTTTAGTTCGACACTGTCCCTCTTGTTGACTGTACCTTTAAAATACATATTCTTAAAATTATTTAAAAATGATTTAAAAATCAAATAATATGCACTGTCTGCATACTTACAATTAAGAAGAAAAATGACCAAATACCACTATTTTTTCTCCCATTGCGAAAAATGAATGAAATCACATATGTCAAGAAAACCAGAGATGAGACATATCCAATACTACACAAGATCTGAAAATAGAAATATTAAGGTTGGATAAGGTAAATACTACCTAGGAAAGCATTCCTACTTAAACCTCAACTCCCCAAACTATGCGATAGCAAAGGTAATTTGAAGTTCTTTAGTTTAAGATAAATAATGTCATTGCATTCATGAAATATAGTCTAATAAAACTACCTCATAATTTTTGCCACTTACCTGCACTAACAGGTTTTGAATTATAAATATAATTTCATCTGGGCTAAAAACGTAATCCATTATTTGCATCAGAAGGAGGATCAAGAAGTAGAGTGGAATATCCACCAGTGCCTGGCCAAACCAGTATGCAGAAGGGTAGAGGCCTGAAATCCGTAGCTGGGAGTGAGCTTTTCTCTGGGAAAGAAAAGGAAGAATCATCAAAAGTGCTGAATAGTCGAGGCTCAAGAAGTTGTAAATATGTGGTCACAAAATCATTCATTTTATTTTCTGTGTCCCTTTCATATATTATGCCGATTTAGTAAACGAGACTTTTACTGGCCACACTCCTCTTCAAGGGGATCAATGATGCTCCAAACTGCATGGTGACTTCATCATCCAAAGGAGAAATGCACTAATATAAGCAGCTCACATTCCATCACAGAATGACTGGACATTGCCTCAGTAAGATTCCCGTTCTTGTATTCACAAAGCTACTCTTCCTTTTGACACTAATGGAGACTTGAAAATGGTACAAAGATTCAAAAGATGGAGGATTTCCTGTAAGATGCAAATTTCCTGTAAGATTCTTCAAATTTATGCTGGGTGTTCGGAGTCCATTAATTATCGGCATTTTATTTTAGGTCTAAGAAATGATCTTCTAACAGGTCAATTTCATCACCAACTCTTTAGGTTGGCATAAGAAGATGTCTGTTAAAACTAATAAGATAAAAATAAGACACTTATTGTCTTGAAGTAAACCATATTTTTCATTATTACATATGAAAACTAGTAAGTAGATTTTGATATTGTGACTCACTCTAAGCCCTACTGTTGTGGTGATTGTCTTAACACAAAGCTTGAAATATTACTTGAACTTTAACAGAAGCACAAAAGCAATGGAAATTTTAAACCTAAAATGGAGTCTATATAAAGACATTCCTTAGGAAAACAGTTAGAATGGAGATAAATATTCTGGAAAGGGGAGTGTATCTGGAAAAACAGCAGGAAAAAGAATGATAGCGAGGGTGTGTTAGAGAGCTGGACATTTTCTGTTCAGTAACGTGTTCAATATATGTTTACTGAGCCCACCATGTGCTTTGTGTTGGTCATGGGCTCTTGTGGACTTTAAGTTGCAGGGGGCAAGAGAGATAAAGGTGATATGCAAATAAGTGTAGTGATAGCTACATAATTAAAATTGTGAAAATTAAAATTTAAGAAGTAAAATTAAACGTGTTAAGATAAGGGTCATAGGAGAGGTGAATTGTAATTAGGGGATTTGTCAGAGGAGGTTCCCTTATGAAGGGCCTGAGTTAAGGGTCTAAGTGGTGAGTAGGAATTATACAGGTGACAGGTAAGGCAGGGGACAGAAGACCAGCAGCGGGGAGAGTTGACCCTCTCGGGAAACTGGAAAGACAGCATGGCTGGACATAGTTATCAAGGTAATAGTGGTGTCAGATCAAAGTGAAGAGAGACATCCCACTCCAGATCATGCATGGCTTTTCAGGCTACAGCAAGGATTTCATTCTTGTTCTTTGGTTTGCCAAGAAACCACTGGAGGGACTTAGGCAGGTAATCAACATGGTCAGATGCGTGTTTTTAAGTAATTGCTCTGTCCCACTGGGTGGAGAATGGATAAGGAGAAGACTAACAGCGAGCAGTTAAGGAGGCTGATGTGCTCATCCAGGAGAGAGATGATAGTGGCTCTCACTGGGGTGTTAAGGAGAGACGGAGGAATGTGGAAAGATTCTAGACATATTTCAGAGGCAAATTCCAATTCACCATTAGCCGGCTATGGAGGTTAAGGAGAAAGAGATATCAATATCATGGAGTTGCCAATTCGATTTGGATTTTAGATAAATATCTTATAAAAAAAATTTTAGTACTAGTATGTTCCAATCGAATGAAGCTAAAATGAATCTTGAAAGGGGCAGCCTTTTTCAACAATAAGCCAAAATGCTGTGGTGAGTTGGTTAGGACTGTTTAACTGAGTAACTTCACCACAATCTTAAAGCGAAAACCATTGCTGAGAGAGGCATTATGATAATGTCAGAGGATCGTGGCTAGCAATAAAAATCTAAGTGATAAACCAGATGAAAGCTGCCCTTCCCTGTTAGCTGATGATACTCCTCAGCTGTCCTTCCTGAGGTCTCACAGTTGTTTAAGAAAAATAACATTTTCTTCATATTTGCCAACCTTTTATTAAAAGCATGTAAATTAGGTGCACCACCTCCATAGAAACGTATGGTCATAGAGTGGAGAAGGGGCCTCTGAGTAATATGAACATGCAAGGACTTTGTTAACTCTTCTTACTTTATAGTCGCCGATGCTGCTCATCGCAATGAAAGGAGTAAAACAGGCTGCCACAGGTATCCAGAAGAAGGCATTGCTCAGGTACCCATGCTCATAAGACATGTGCTCCTAAAATCACGCAGAACACGTGAACTGCTAGCAATTGGACATCTGGTTCATTTGTGCTTAATCTTAACTAAGTCATTCAAATATGTGAATTAGGGTTATGAAGAATGTGGGGCATCCCCCCCAACACCCCCAAATCTCTATAGCTTTCCAACAGTGTGCAAGAGGCACTCAACAGTTCTTACAGCTCTTTCTGAAGAAGCACAGAGGTTAATGCAGGGGTGGAAGTTGTTAACTACCTGCATGATGGCCACATCAAAAAATGAACAAGGGAAAGGAGAGAGAGCTTGACAGTGAGGGCATCTCCGTAGCAGCCGAAGGGAAATTCCGCTCTGCATCATCGAGTGCATCTTCCTCTACACAAGGGACTGGGGTCAAAACTAAACACTACCCAAGACAATCAGGCAGGTCACCTAGGCTGTGGCGGCCACATACATAGAAGCTACAGGTAGCAGATACAACTAGAGAAAGCAAGATGTCTCCAGAGCACCATTTCTTCCTGTCCTAATCTCTCCACCTTTCCTCTCTGCTTCCAGCCCCAGCAGTGGAGAAAAAAGGGGGTGGGGAGTCTGAGCAAGGTCACTCTCTCCTTTCTACTCCAAGATGTTAGACTAGAAAAGGGGGGAAAAGGGCAAAGCCCACCACTGCCAACCCACCCAGTCCACCGCCATTAGGCCACAAACTGACCCTGCGGTGTTTGAATTGGATAGGAAATTGAAGTGTTGGACAGCACTGGAATAATTCTTTTTTTTTTCTTTAAAATTTTTTATTGTTATGTTAATCACCATACATTACATCATTAGTTTTTGTGGAATAATTCTTAATAACAAAGAGTGACCAGGGAGCTGTAGAGTATGCTGTGGAGTATGGTGTCATTTCAAGAAGGCGAAGGGAGATTCAAGATGGCGAGATGATAGAGCTGCTCACCCTCCCCCACTGTGGTGTGTGGAGGTTCTGTGGAGGTTCTGACTCAAGATCTGAGCAGGCCTGGCAAACTGTACGTAAACAAGAACTGCTTCTAGTTCAGCCCCGTCTGCTGATCTAGTCAAAGCTGAACGTTCTTTAATGGAAACTCGATGCGCTCCGAAGAAAAATAATACAAATAGCAATAGTGATAATGAGAGCAGTTTATCGAGTGCCTGTGCTTTCCGATGTTTTTGTGCCTTACTGATCGTCTTTAACTCAGTCAACTGCACCTGGTGCTCACATTGCCTTATTTACTTCTTAAGAAAACTTTGAGATGAAGTTTTTATCTGTATTTTTTTCCTGTGGATTGCCGAGCCAAGGGCTACAGAAGGTCAAGTTGTTAAGGACACATTGTCTGGCCTTTAAGACTCTGGCTGTTTCAACGAGGTCCCATTACCTACTGCAACAGACAGTGACAGATCTAAGATGAAAATTGTCAGTTCTTTTCCTCAACTAATTGTATTTTCTGCTGTTCCACTGACCCCAAGTCATCCAATTCAGGTTATAATGTTGCATAATCATTACCAGATAGTGTGTGTATGTATATAGGTGTGTGTGTATAAACCCGTAAATGTAAACTACATGTATGTAAAACATACACTTATTCAAGAACAAGTTCACAAAAATTAACATGATGTTATTTCAGCATTTCGAGTGTCTTCTTGAAAACTCCTTAAAGTTCAGGGTAAGTGAGATAATATTATACTTACTTCTGGGGCGCCTGGGTGGTGCAGTCAGTTAAGCATCCGACTCTTGATTTCAGCTCAGGTCATGATCTCAGTGTTGTGGGATCGAGCCCCGCATCGGGCTCTAAGCTGGGCGTGGAACCTGATTAGGACTCTCTCTCTCTCTTCTTCTGTCCCCCCTCTAAAAAATTATACTTACTTCAAAATACGTGCTTCTGTCAGTCCGAATGTGTTCTGAAGAATTAAAAATTCCAAGTAGCCCATTGCTGATGATATCCATGAGGACAGGAAAGCAATTCAGCCTTTTGGTGTTACATGCTATTGAGAACCTGTGATCCTAAAATGTAACAAATATGCATTCTAAGTTCTCAGAAAGCAAATACAAAATTTAATGAAAGAATATGGTAGAAAATCGTTCGAATTATTGACAAAACAGGAAGGCTAAAGCACTAAATGTGATTAATATCACCATCACTCATATTATTTGATTAATTCCCGATATACCACAAGGAATAATTCAGTATTTTGCTCTTTACTGACCATAGCATCAGCCGTGTGGCTATTTATGCCTAAATGCTCACAAAATGAGATGCCTCAGATGCTTTTTGGCAGCAATACCATAAAACTCCACAAAGCAATGTCTCTTTGACATGGCAGTAGGCTTCCTTTCAAAATGCGATACACGCACTTTATAAATTAAGAATGCGTGGATACTTAGAAGCAGGAGGCAGGCAGCTACTGTAATGAAAGCATAGGTTTTCACAAATACTGAGATTGCAGTAGCAATGCTGCATGTAAAAATCTCTTTTCAAATGGCATTTTAAAATCATTTCACAGTATATGTAAGTCATAATGTTGTACACCTTAGACTTATACAGTGCTATTAATTTTATCTTAATAAAACTGGGGGGAGACATATGGTAAAAAATGTTACATCTCTTTCTATATGTTATATAAAATATATGACGTGTACATACATATATATAACATGATTACTTCTTGCCCAAATAAAAAGAATGTAAGTAAGTTATTATTTGGGCATGCATTTTTGCAATCACAAATAAATCACATGGATTGTAACTAATCTAATTACTTAAAGTAATGTTTACTGATATTAAGAATGCCACCTTTTAAACTATTTTTCTGGGCACACTGGAAACTAGCCTGATTAAAACATACCAAAGACTAGTTTGATCAAAGGTAATTTCTAATTTTATTATTGGCACAGAAATTATTTCTGAAAATTAACTCGGACAAGTTGCATTTACCTGCTGTGGTTTACACATGTGACACTCTCTTGTCATCTTTTTTCATTTGTCTATCACAGGGATTTCTCCCCAAACTCCCACAGGGTCTAGGCAGGTCATATACATGCGTGAAGCAGCATGGGGATAGAGCAACTTGGCAAGTAAAGTCCAAGTCTAAACTGAGCAACTGTTTCTCAATTCCAACCACAGACTGCCAGAATTAGCATATGGAGGGATTTTTCAAGGGAAGTAGAAATGTAAATTTTTATAAGAAATACACCAATCCTAAATACCGCCAAATAAGGCAGTCCTGCTCAAACTTCAGTGAGTGTACTAATCCGCAGATTTTATTAAAGTGCAAATACTCAGTAGGTCTGGAGTGGGGGCTGAGAGTCTGGAATTCTTTTCTTTCCAACATCTGGCACATAATTTTTATTTTTTTATTTATTATTATCATTATGTTCAATTAGCCAACATATAGTACATCATTAGTTTTTGATGTAGTGTTCAACGATTCATTAGTTGAGAGTCTGCATTTCTAACAAGCTCCTAGGTGATCCACTGTTGTTGATTCATGAACCACAAGTTGTAGGAAACAGAAATTTTTTTAAAAAGATTTTATTTATTTATTTGACAGAGAGATAGAGCACAAATAGGCAGAGTGGCAGGCAGAGGGAGAGGGAGAAGCAGGCTCTCCACTGAGCAAGGAGCCGGACGTGGGGCTCAATCCCAGGACCCCAGGATCATGACCTGAGCCAAAGGCAGCCGCTTAACTGACTGAGCCACCCAGGCACCCCGGAAACAGAAATCTTTTAATATCAGATAGCTGAATATAAATATTTATCTGAAGATTTGACCCATTTGTGTAAAGTTTAGCAACCAAGACTTGAGCTTTTTTCCCATAAAAAATAAACAAAAATCTACTGTAAAAAAATTAAGAACGATTTTTTTTTTGAGGTCTTATTTACCTTTATTTTCCTGTGTTACATATATCCTTATCTAGTACATAGTAGGTAATACTTAATAAATATTTGTGATTTGAATCAATGAATTTAGACTAATATAAAGTTTGCATATTAAACTTGTGCAAAGATAAGAACTTAGCACAGTCTGATGTGTCAAATGTCTGGAATTGCTTTGGGATGATCATAGATCTTAAAGTCTTATCTTAGATTAAAATGAGCCATTCTTTCTTTTTGGGGAAGAAAGCCAGTTTCTGGGGAGCTTGACATGCTTTACAATCTGCCTCCTTTAAAGAGGTATAAACCTGGATCCGGTAAGTCTTTGTGTATGCCTTTTCTGTGTTGTTTTCTCTCTCAGGCCACATTTCGTTTGCTTTTGTAGGTTTAGAAGTTATGTATCCACTTGACTAAAATGGTGATCTTGACGTTGTTGAGGTCCCCAAAGCCAGACTATACAAATGTTTGCACATTTTCTTAATTTATTTAGCCAATTGACTATAGCATCTGCCTTCGATATGGCAAATTCCCTCTGGTTTGCACCAGCTCCTGCAATTCT